AACAATGTTGCATTCTCAGTGTAAGAATCTGATGAATTGATTTCATTTAGGCTTTTCAAAATCTTCTTTTATTTTAATGTTTCATTACAGTGGTATATTCTTCCCCCAAATATATGAACCGTCGGAGTCAGTGAACTTAGTTTTTGTCACAATTTAAAGATGCTGAATTCATTCATTCATTCATTCATCAGTAATCTGTCAGACGACAGGTCCACAGTCTCTTCCAAAACAGTTTCTCCACTTAATGCGATCTTCTGTTTTTGGAAAGAGACTATCCAGGAAAAGTGATAGTGTGGTAGTTTTTCCATTTGTTTCCACATCGCAGTACAACAGCCGTTCAAACCACTCTGGTCACGCCTGTTGCTATACGAACTTGAACCATCTCGAGCATCATTTGCTCTGTGCTTCAAGTCGCTGCTGATGACGCTGCTTCCGGCATCAGTTTTCGGTGTCTCTCTTCGTCTGATGCCTACCCTTTGACCTGTCCAGCAAGGGAGGCCCTGCCAGTAGCTACGCTACCGCTGGTATAGCTCTCAGGGTCCTTGGCATACTCAAACACCCTCACCACCAACGAGGGGGCTGAATTCAGTAAATAAGAATATATTAACAAAGTTCAGCAGCTACTAACCATAAATCGTTTTAAAACAATTTAAATTTCAATAAAAATATTATGATTCTTTCAACACATATATTATGATTCTGGACACTATCCATTGACTGTTTATATTTTAAAACATGACGTTTCGGAGACTGAATTCTGTTTCCGTACTCAGTTGGGTCCACTAGACCGAGATAGTCACTATCTTCGAACACCTGTACCAAGACCAAGATGGAGTATATAAGCGAAACACAGCAAAAGCTATCTGCGAGAGCTAAGACAAAATATTAAATTATTAAAACTCTACACTCATGAGGCCTTGCTTGGCTTGTATACGGCATCTTGGTGTTGGTACAGATGTCAGGATATAGGGACTAGATCTATCGATTGGGCCCAATTGAGTAGGTTTTACATGAAGACGGAGACAAAATCCAGTCTCCGAAACGTTGCTTTTTGAAATATAATCAGGGCGATGGATAATGTCCAGAAACATATTATTGTACTAATATACGACCATCATCACAAACTTTTATATCTTGTAAGATTTGAGGCTTTCACGGCAGTGACTATGAAGAAAGCAGTCTTCTGGGATTTGGCACCGTGTATATGTGGTGTTAACCGACGTTTCGGAGGAACGTATCGCCCCCATCTTCAGGGTAGAAGAAAAAATATNCCTGCCATGCGTGCGCCCCTCCCACAAACATGTATGCACATACTGACTCACGCATCGCCTAAAAACCAAGCCTTACAAAATCGTACTTTAAACATCCTCATGTAAATATTTAATCTGATAGTATTGTTACATTATCACACTGCAGTTCTATACACGTGTGTCTATTAAGACTCACAGTCTTTTCAGTGTAACATATAAAGGTAAAGTTGTCCTTGTGCTTACTGAGTTGAGCACAATATTAGGGAGTGGAGATACAGCTCCTCCTTTCTTGGACTCGGCATAAGATGGAGATCAGTGGTCAACATCACGCTCTTCCTGCTTTACCCCCGGAAAAAAAACACTGTACCCTTTAGATAGGAGGCTGGGTGAACCCCAGAATCGATCTGGATGCTGTAGGAGAAGAAAAAAATCTTTCATTGCCGGAAATCGAACTTGTGCCGTCAAGCCCGTAGCCCGTCGCTATATTTACTGAGCTATCCCGAACATTTTTCAGTGCAATAGAACTTTATTAATTTTACGATATCTGACACAGTTTACATATAATATGGCTGTGATTAGAAACGACTAACCTGGCGAAACATTTGAAACTGTGGCATGAAAGCCATAAAGCCTGTACATACTTTCACTAACACAGTTATGTCACTGTGTATAAGGCCAGCACTGCCCAGTCTGTTGGTCTGAGCCTGATAGAATTGTACAGCTTCTGTTTTAAATGAATGGATTTTATACGCACGAAATTATATTCTCACAGCGGCAGTCTTCTCGGACATAACGCTCTGTAATTTAGTAAATGTGAGTAAAGGTTGCGGGAGAATAAGTCGTCTCCACCTTCAGAATCTAAAGGCGCGTCCACATTACTCGTGCTCGTGCTCGTGCTCGTGCTCGTGTGACTCGATATGCTCGCGAGTAATGTGGACAATATGACAAATCACGAGACAAGCAAATTTTGAATTTTTAATTTAAAAACTATAGTCAATAAATTAAAATACGACTACAGTAGGGTTCCCAGATACCCATTTTTTCCCGGATTCTTCCTTTTTTTCACCCAAATATTGTTCCTCCGTTTATTGTTTACCCGGAGTGGATAATTCTCCGTTTTTTTTTTTTATTTAAGTCCATTGCGAATTATATTTCATGGGTTAAATACACCTATTATCATAAAATTTCTGTAATCCTTTGAAAATGACATTGTTATAGTTTCTTTCGTTATGTTGCATTTCGTGAATGTTGGCAACACTTGAAGTTCGAAACCAAAGCAGAATATTTTGTGCATTCTATATATATGTAATACGGCTACGTAATATTTATTTTGTTCTATAAATGTGTAGTAGGCCTATGTAATACAGATGTGTTGTAGCATTTTGTAAGTTATGTAGTATGTTGATTATGTATATTTTACAGACTATTAGTTGTGAAAAATGTCGTTATAAACAAGCAACGAGACATCATTCTTTTTTATTTTACAAGATCTGGCAACCCTAGACTACAGCCTATACACACTACGAGTAAATATACGGATCCTCACGCGCCGAAGCCTGGCGAGCAACTGAAGTAGTGTGGACGAAGATTTACGAGCACAAGTAAAAGCCAGACGAGTCTCCCGACGAGCACAAGCCTGGCGAGCATGAGCACGAGCACGAGTAATGTGGACGCGCCTTAAGAGTCCTCGGTAACTGTTTCATGCTACTTTCTTGATTGGCATAATTTTCAGCCTTGAAGATGTAAGCGATACTTTCCTCCGAAGCGTTGGCTAACTTTCACCGTACTACACGGTGTTATGTCCCAGAAGACAGAACTCTTCACCTACTAATCTATATTGATGAAAATAAATTTCTATCTTTATTCGACCGCATAGACTGAAATGTCACATCCAGAACTACAAACCATGGGTACATTTCTGAAACACGTACACGAGTCTAGGGTAATTTAATGATCATTCGTCAACTTCACAGGTCATGTAGCGCAGAACAATAGGATTAACTGTGAATGGTTAATCTGAAATAATAAAATGAACCGGTCGCTGCCTTCTTCAAGGTAATAAACTAAAACTTGTCTGGATTGTCTGAGAGATACCACAGAAATCCTCAGTCAAGACTGATGGTCCCTTTACCCAGACTAGAACCAGAGACTTCCCGAATATAAATAAACGCTTTGAGAGAGATATTTCATTTTAAAGTATGAATACAAATAACAAAAAATAACTATATTGTTATCAGAAAATTGTTCGATGACCGCTGTCCGTGGGCACACCCAGCCCTTAAAATGGTTAGTATCGGTTATTCTGCCTTGGCTAACCAACTAACTAACTAACTAACTAACTGAATGGAACTGAGCCCTTCTTGAAAAGCTGCCAGTTGTGTAGCTACCCAATAACTTTCCGACAATTTATGGAACCATAAGGTTCATTATCATGTTCACAAAATCATTCCACTGGTCCCTAATCTGAGCCAGATTAATCCAGTTCATATCACACATCATATTTTTCTAAGGTTAACTTTAATGTTATCCACCCACCTACCTTTTGGTATTCCCAGTGTTCTCTTTCCTTCTGGTTTTCTCACCAATCTCATATATGCATTCTTCTTTTGCCCCATTCGTGCTACATGCCCTGACCAAATCGTCGTCCTTGACTTGGTAATTCTAATTATACTTTGAGAAGAGTACAAGTTATGTAGCTCCTCATTATGCAGTTTGAAGTTTATCTACTACCTTTACAAATTGCCCATATTAAGAATGCCTGGATATATGACTCCGCTCCCGAATTCGTCTTCACGGTGAAGTGCTGAAGCGCAGTGCTACTTCACCTTTATGCATTACTTCATGTCTCGTAGGCGAGCGCCAAATTTTCCCCTTGACACTTCTTTTTTCAACCTATGTCGCTGGTACAGGCTGACAGGCCAAGTTTCACGTTCATACAAAAGAATAGGCCTATTTTCATTTACGTTTTCTGAACTGAATTGTGTCTTGCAAGTGTCTCAACAGGCGACCACAATTGCCGTGTAGTCTAAGACACGAAATGCCTTTGCCCGCTAAAACAGTGGGATCGTGGGGCCGAATCCCACTCGAGGTATGGAGGTGTATCCTCCTTTCTTCTGTGTTTGTGTTGTCCTGTGTACGCAGGGATCTTGTGACAGGACTGATCACCCATCCATGGAGTCCTACAAACTGTCTATAAGAGCCATATTTCCAGATTAATTCTGTTGGGAAACAGACCTGAGGGCCTAATGAGAAAGGTTGAATAATAATAATAATAATAATAATAATAATAATAATAAGTGTCAGAAGAACTAACATAAAATGCGTTTGGTTGCTGCAGCTCAACAAGAATGCACATGTAAAGGCTAAAGTAAAGTTCTTCCCGCTCTTAATTAATTAAGTGGTCACGGGGGAGTGGAGGTATGCATCTATTATTCTCGACCCCCGCAACAAATAGAGATGAGTGTTCAGCTACACATCCCTGCCGCTTTAACCCTGGTGAAAGAACAGCCAGTAACCACTGGACCAGTAACTGGGTGGGCCGCAGAACCGATGCGGACGCTGTGTAGTAGAGAAATATTTGTAGCTCCTGCCCAGAATCGAACCAAGGCCGTCCACCCCGTAGTCCATCGCATTACTGTCTGAGATATCCCGGCTTCCAAAGCATGCACGAGAAACCGGATCTTGTTTGATTTCATTGGCAGAGAGACAGGAAATCCTGTTACAGATATTCTCTCTAGAGGAAACAGCGTATGCGTTGTGAACATAACGGGTCGAGTGTGTGAACCTGACTTGGCATTCTTCGTGCACACAAACAGTAAGTACAATATTTCCTTTGTAACTGTTTAAATCTTCTAACCAATTTAAATCATCTACATAAACCTTGATGCATAAAACGCGATGTCAACGTACATTATAATTTTAGATTCTGAAGTTTCTGATGATGGTGTGTAACACTCGGAATTACTGAGTCTTAAACTCCGTACATCGTCCAGTGATCGAGGTTAGTTCTTTCTAACGGACCCAACAGACCCAGTTTCTGAAACACTGTGTTGCTGTAATGTTTTTTGAATACCGGATGACGGACAAAGTCCAGAAACAAAGTAATTTCAAGTATTATAATTTTATTTTTTAAAAACCAGTAATTATCTATTAAATTAAAGAAGTTTCAAGTGATTTCATGCGCAGTTTTAATATACTTATAGTGAAATGGGTGTATGGACTGCATTCATCTCACTCAGGACAGAGGTCGGTGTAGTGCTCTAGTAAACACAGCAATGACCTTTCGGATTCTATACAATGCTGGGAAATTCTTGAATAGCTGAGGGACTTTTGGCTACTTAAGGAGGACTTGACACCGTTGAGATAATTAGTTATGATTCTAGCGGAACTTCTTCATATTCATTATATGAACTTGAAATATCTGGGTCGAATAGAGATTAAGTGACGGGAGAGTGGAGAAAATTGCATAATGAGAAGCTTTATAACATGTACTCCTCGCCAAACATAATTAGAATGATCAAGTCAAGGAGGATGAGATGGGCAGGGCATGTAGTAAGAATGGGGGAGAGGAGGAATGCATATAGGATATTGGTGGGAAAGCCAGAAGGAAGGAGACCACTGGGAAGACCAAGACGTAGGTGGGTGGACGATGTTAAAATGGATCATAGAGACAGAGGATGGGATGGTATGGATTGAATTGATCTGGCTCAGGATAAGGGCCAGTAGAGTCCTTTTGTGAACACGATAATAAACCTTCGGGTACCATGAAATGTTGGGGAGTTCTTGAGTAGCTGCATAATTGACTGCTTCTCAAGAAGGGCTGAGCACAATGGAGTTAGTTAGTGAAATACGAACTTGGACAACAAAAATCCACAAATAGTAACTCAGGTATTCCCTTGAAGGCAAGCAGATTAACGAAATTGTTACTGAGGTAGATGCAGGTAAAATCGACGGAAAAGGCCTTTTGTAAATTTAACGATAAGTCCCTATGAACATTATTTACCTGCAACCCACTTTCTCCAGTATTCCTCGATTTCTTTTATTTGTCATGGATGGGAAAGTATGTGTATATCGAGGTCTTCTGGCGCCTAACACCATCTGTCAGACCCTGAAAGCAACTACGTCCTCTGTGAGCTCGTACTGAATACACAGATCCACAGGTCCCGGGTTCGATTCCTGGCGCTACCAGATTTTCTGAGAAGTAGTGGGTCTCGAACGGGGTCCACTCAGCCTCGTGAGCATAATTGGAGAGCTACATGAATGAGAAGTAGAGGCTCCGGTCTAGAAAATCGAGTTTAACGGCCGTGGGGATCCGTTTCGCTGACTACGCGACACCCTCTATCAGCAAAAGTTTGCACTAACTTCGTTGACAAGCGGCGGTCGCTCAGTCGGTACAGTTTAGTCTTTTTTACATGAACATTTATTTCACTCTTCGTATGAAACTTTATAAATTAGTATTTGTAATCCCTTGTTAGAATAATGTCCAAAACATTAAATGTAAGGGTATTAAATTGTCTTAAACAGATATTGCCAAAATTTCCAGGTCATGTGTGTAATTGAAGGATATAACTGGTCTGGATTGCAGAATAGAGGAAGATATAATATTCGTGTGTGCAAACTGTAGCTAAATCTTTACTCGGAACTGTACTACAGGATCATGATTTGCAAGCGGTTGTGGAACTGGATCATTACGATTGCATTTTTGGATACGACTACTGGGTGCAGTAGGTTTTTCACTTTTTGCAAATATTACGATGTGACCAAAACTGTCAATTGCTCAAATATTAATATAGGAACGTTGCAAGCTCAAGGTCCCTCAGTGGATTCGCTGAAAGTTCAACGTCTTCATCTTAAGAACGCCGGTCTCACATTGTTGGAAGCCGATGTGTTCAACTCACTGCCAAAACTGTGGTACCTCGACATAAGTTACAATATTCTCGAGAATTTGGATTACCGGTTATTCAGTAAACTGACCAGACTGTTGCATCTCGACCTCACAAACAACAGGTTGACTTCCTTACATGACGAACGACTTTTTAAAGCTCAAGGAAGGCTCTCGTCTCTTTTGTTAGGAAACAACAAACTACAAGTTCTTGATTTGGTAGTAATAAGCCCACTGAAGTCCATACGTATATTAAAGTTGACCGGTAACCCATTTCTCTGTAACTGCGAATTCCACCAATTAGTGCTCTGGTGGACAGAAAGAGATCTTGACATAGATGCAACATGTAAACACCCAAATACATCCAATGCTGCCTCATGGTCAAGGATAAACTCATCTGAGATTTGTAACAGAACGCATACAACAAGCATGGCGACAACAAACGAAATGGAAGACAATTATATGACAACTATTGAAGTGAGTGGTGAATTATCAGTAACAGACCGAAATGTAGGATCATCAACAACCGGAAGAATCGCCGAAGTGTCGATAACAGAAGAGAATAGAGAAGTAGCAGCCCCAAAAACAAAAGGAAATGAAGACTCAAGAACAGAAGGTTATGGTGAAGTATCACTAAGTAAAGGAATCGGCGAAGTTTCGACACAAGTATCGATATCAGAAGAGGATGTCGAAGTGCCAACAACGAAACTAAATGGCGAAGATTCTTCAAGTCCAGCTATCACTTCCGTTACAGTCCTCATTGTGTGTGCGTGTGTGGCAATTCTTCTTGGTATCTGCTTGGCTACGTCATTTTATTATTGGAGAAAACTGAAAACTGTAGGTTGCAGTGAAAATGTACATTCAGTAAATTTCCACGGGAGATCAAGCGAAAACAATGAAAGGGACAATACTTTTGCCGAGAGTATGAACCCTCTTACTTGGCAACCAGGTCACTTGTTGCAAGAGGGACCTAGTATTAGCATAGAAATGGGACTACTACAATGTGATACTTCAGAAATAGGCAGAGAGGAGGCAAGATTATGAAGAAAACAAAAAAAATTCTGAGGCTTATTAGAAATAGTTATGTTGCAGTTCTAGGGCTGTAACAATGACAGAGATGCAAGCTGGTTTCAGAAGGCTACATACATGTATATGTCAGTGCTTTATTTAATATTTCTGTAATCTGGAAAAAATTAATATTAGTACTGAAATGAGAACAAAACTTTGGCTTGTATATTTTCTTTGACCTAAAAATATACCCGTATGTAGTGTAACACGTATGAATTGAGAGCATATAACACTTGAAAATACAATCCGACATTTGCAACAGAAATATGGGTGGATTTATTTAATATAAAGTATCAATTCCGTGTTTATTTGTTTAACTAAAAGAATCGCTTTATTATGTTAAGAATCAACATGGAATTAAAAACTGAAATATCTGCAGAAAATTACATTGTGTAACTAAATAAACTTATTGAAAAATATAATAATCAAATTATTTATTATTTATGTGCCGAGTCAAAAGGTAATAATTCAATTCATGTTTATTTACGCGAAAACTTAACAGCATAGAGGCCACATTCAAAGTTAGCACGAAGAGCTAGAAATACACAAAAGTAATTAAAAAACAATACAAAATATGATAGTCTACATTAATTGCAAAGTGAGCATGAATAAAGATACAGAAACAAACACACACAGAGAAAGCCGCAATGTGACAGCGAAGAATCGAGTTTCAAATAGAGCAGTACACAACAACAGCAACAACAGCAACAGCAACAACAACAACAACAACAACAACAGTAATACTAATAAAAATGTGTTTGCTTGGTTAAATGAGTAAATATCTGTGCCATTTAAGGGATTAAAGTGTCCATTATTGTAAATCCTATGAGTGCAGTACAGAAACATAAGTAATAATAGATGTTATCACCTGAGTGTACTTTACTTTAGGCAACACCGGAAAACCAACGGATACTTTCAGTCAGTATATGACACGAACTCTCTAGGGACAGGCTCTTTTGTATTTTGGCATAAAGATGGAAATATCAGAAGATTTTTGTACTGAGACAGGGTGCCATTTCAAAGTAAGCACTTTCTCCATTTTCAGTTAATAAGCAACAGCGTTTCATTCCACTTCTACGACGAAGATGGAAGTATCGATTCGTTTGAAACGTAAAGGGCTTCTCCTATAAACAGAGCACGGTGAAGACTTTATGCTTTATAAACTTACGTACTTATTTCTTATTTATTTTGAGTAACATAAGACAAAAACCGAAAAATTAAGCCCAACTATACGATTTACTGCACATAATTCAATACGAACTTTCTAAAATAGTATTTCTTAAAACAAACTGAATGAATCTCCTCATCTGTTACATCATAAAGTATTAATAAACCGTGGAAAATCTGAAGGGAGAACATCGCTTGGGAGGTCTGCGTGGAATTGAACAGACAATATTAGCAAGGATCGTAAAGGAACAAGACTGCAAAAGTGTAATACATACCGAAACAACCAGAGATTCAAAACACATTATTTGTTGTTTTGCAGTCTGAATGCTTCCAGCTGTTATATTTCATCAACATGTGAACAGCATGAAGTAGGCCTAAAATTTAAATATAAAATTGCTATGTCTGAATAACATCAAGACGTTTTAATCTCGAAATGTTACAAGTTTTGTGTTGTAAACATAATGCGATTATTTAAGAAACGTAATACAAATTAGCTCAAATGATAGCACACTAGACCCGTGCGCAGCTGGTTATAGGATCGAAATTTTTATTTCTTAAAAAAATGTATAAAAGTTGCAGGGTCCAGATACTTGAATAAAATTCAAATAAATTACAACGTTTCAAATTTGAATAAAATTTTAATATCCGAACCCTGCGTTAAACGACTGTAGGTCGCTCTCACCTCAGAAGGTTGTCCTTCAAATTAAAAAAAAAACTCCGTGACCTGTAGTCCGCAAGCTAACTATACCGACCGAGCGACCGCCGCTTGTCGGCGAAGTTAGTGCCAACTTTAGCGGATTAGAGGGT